TCTTTTTTTGTTGTTTTGTGTTTATTTTTTATTTTTTTTTGTTCTTTATTTTTTTTGATCATTTTTTTGTATTTGTTTTGTGTTTGCTTTTTTTTTTTTTTTTTTGGCAGTACACGGCTTCTCACTGTTGTGGCCTCTCCCACTGTGGAGCACAGGCTCCGGACACACAAGCTCAGCAGCCATGGCTCACGGGCCCAGCTGCTCCGCGGCATGTGGGCTCTTCTCGGACCGGGGCATGAACCCATGTTCCCTGCATCAGCAGGCGGACTCTCAACCACTGCGCCACCAGGGAAGCGCCTGTGTTTGCTTTCTGATTTTGTTTTCTTTTTCATTTTTTGTTCTTGTTCATTTAGTCCTTATTGACTATTCTCATTTTTAAATTCTTTTGTATGCTTATTCTCTTGGTTTATTTTATTTTATTTTATTTTTTCAGTGTGTGTGTGTGTGTATAGTGTTGTTATTGCTGCTGTTTGTTTGCCATTGTTTTTGCTATTTGTCTTGGGTTTTGTTTGTCTGTTGGTTTTCTTTTCTTTTCTTTCCTTTTACTCTGGCCACACCGTGCAGCTTGTAGGCTCTTCGTTCCTTGGCCAGTGGTTGGGTCTGAGCCTCCAGAGTGGAGCACCAAGTCCAGGACACTGGACTGCCAGAGAATTCCTGGCCCCAGGGAATATTATTCAGCATGCACACTTCTGGAGGAGTCCATATTAACATCAAGACCCAACCCCACACAACTGCCTGCAGGCTCCAGCACAAGAAAACTCACACCAAACAACCAGCAAGACAGGAACACAGCCCTAGCCATCAGCAGGCAGGCTGCCTGAAGTCGTACTAAGCTCACAGACACTCCAAAACACACCACCTGACACGGCCCTGCCCTTCAGAGGGAAAAGACTCAGCTCCACCCACCAGAGTGCAGGTACCAGTCCCTCACACCAGGAAGCCTACACAAGCCCCTGGAGCAACCTCACTCACCAGAGGGCAGACAACAGAAGCAAGAGGAACTATGACCCTACAGCCTGCAGAAGGAGACCATAAACACAATAAGTTAGACAAAATGAAACAACAGAGAAATATGTTGCAGACAAAGGAGCAAGGTAAATCCCATAAGGCCAAATAAACAAAGAGGAAATGGGCAATCTACCTGAAAAAGAATTCAGAGTAATGACAGTAAAGACGTTCCAAGATCTCAGAAATAGAATGGAAGCATGGATCGAGAAGACAGAAGAAATGTTTAACAAGGACCTAGAAGAACTGAAGAACAAACAATGAGTGATGAACAACACAATAACTGAAATGAAAAATACACTAGAAGGAATCAACAGCAGAATAACTGAGGCAGAAGAACCACTAAGTAAGCTGGAAGATAGAATGGTGGAAATAACTGTTGAGGAGCAGAATAAAGAAAAAAGAATGAAAGGTAATGAGTACAGTCTAAGAGACCTGTGGGACAACATTAAACAACCAACGTTCGCATTATAGGGGTACCAGAGGGAGAAGAGAAAGAACCTGAGAAAGTACTTGAAGAGATAATAGCTGAAAACTTCCCTTACATGGGAAAGGAAACAGTCACCCAAGTCCAGGAAAGGCAGAGAGTCCCAGGCAAGATAAACCTAAGGAGGAACACACCGAGACACATAGTAATCAAATTGACAAAAATTAAAGATAAAGAAAAATATTGAAAGCAACAAGGGAATAGCAACAAATAATGTACAAAAGAACTCTAATACGGTCGTCAGGTGATTTCTCAGCAGAAACTCTGCAGGCCAGAAGGGAGTGACATGATATATTCAAATTGACGAAAGGAAAAAATCTAAAACCAAGAATACTTTACCCAGCAACACTCTCATTCAGATTTGAAGGAGAAACCAAAAGCTTTACAGACAAGCAAAAGCTAAGACAATTGATCACCACCAATCCAGCTTTACAACAAATGCTAAAGGAACTTCTCTAGGCAGGAAACACAAGAGAAGGAAAAGACCTACAAGAAAAAACCCATGACAATTAAGAAAATGGTAATAGGAACATACATATTGATAATTACCTTAAATGTAAATGGATTAAATACTCCAACCAAAAGACACAGACTAGCTGAATGGATCCAAAAAAATACCCATATATATGCTGTCTCCAAGAGACCCACTTCAGACCTAGGGACACACACAGACTGAAAGTGAGGGGATGGAAAAAGATACTCCAAGCAAATTGGAATGAAAAGAAAGCTGTAGTAGCAATACTCATATCAGACAAAATAGACTTTAAAATAAAGACTATTACAAGAGACAAGGAAGGACACTACATAATCATCAAGGGATCAACCCAAGAGGAAGATAATTGTAAATATTTATGCAACCAACACAGGAGCACCTCAATACATAAAGCAAATGGTAACAGCCATAAAATGGGAAATCTACAGTAACACAATAATAGTCGGAGACATTAACACCCCACTTACACCGATTAACAGATCATCCGGACAGAAAATAAAAAAGGAAACACAGGTTTTAAATGACACAATAGACCAAATAGACTTAATTGATATTTATAGGACATTCCACCTAAAAGTGGCAGAATACATGGTCTTCTCAAGTGCTCATGGAACATTCTCCAGGATAGATCACATCTTGGGTCAGCAATCAAACCTCTGTAAATTTAAGAAAATTGAAATTGTTTCAAGCATCTTTTCTGACCACAATGTTATGAGATTAGAAATCAATTACAGGAAAAACAAAAACTGTAAAAAATACAAATATATGGAGGCTAAACAATATGCTACTAAATAACCAAGAGATCACTGAAGAAATCAAAGAGGAAATCAAATCATACCCAGAAAAAAAATGACAAAAACACATGATGGCCCAAAACCTATGGGATGCAGCAAAAGCAGTTCTAAGAGGGAAGTTTATTGCAATACAATCCTACCACAAGAAACAAGAAAAAAGAAATATCTCAAATAAACAACTGAATATTACACCTAATGCAACTAGAGAAAGAACAACAACAACAACAAAAAAAAAACCCTCGAAGTTAGTAGAAGGAAAGAAATCATAAAGATTACAGTAGAAATAAATGAAACAGAAATGAAGAAAACAATAGCAAAGATCAATAAAACTAAAAGCTTGTTCTTTGAGAAGATAAACAAAATTGATAAACCTTTACCCAGACTCATCAAGAAAAAAAGGGAGAGGACTCAAATCAATGAAATTAGAAATGGAAAAGAAGAATTTACAATGGACACCACAGAAATACAAAGGATCATAAGAGACTACTACAAGCAACTATATGCCAATAAAATGGATAACCTGGAAGAAATGGACAAATTCTTAGAAAAGTACAACCTTCCAAGACTGAACCAGGAAGTAACAGAAAATATGATGAACAGACTAATCACAAGTACTGAAATTGAAATTATGATTAATTATCTTCCAGCAAACAAAAGTCCAGGACCAGACGGCTTCACAGGCAAATTTTATCAAACATTTAGAGAAGAGCTAATACTTATCCTTCTCAAACTCTTCCAAAATTTAGCAGAGGGAGGAACACTCCCAAACTCATTCTATGAGGCCACCATCACCCTGATACTAAAACCAGACAAAGATGTCACAAAGAAAGAAAATTAGAGGCCAATATCACTGATGAACATAGACACAATAATCCTCAACAAAATACTAGCAAACAGAATCCAACAACACATTAATGGGATCATACACCTTGAACAAGTGGGGTTTATCCCAGGGATGCAAGGATTCTTCAGTATATGCAAATTGATCAATGTGATATACCATATTAAAAAATTGAAGAATAAAAACCATATGATCATCTCAATAGATGCAGAAAAAGCTTTTGACAAAATTCAACACACATTTATGATAAAAAAAAACTCTCCAGAAAGTGGGCATAGATGGAACCTACCTCAACTTAATAAAGCCCATATACAGTAGACGGCAAACCCACAGCAAACATCATTCTCAATGGTGAAAAACTGAAAGCATTTCCTCTAAGATCAGGAACAGGACAAGGATGTCCACTCTCACCACTATTATTCAACACAGTTTAGGAAGTCCTAGCCATGGCAATCAGAGAAGAAAAAGAAATAAAATGAATCTAATTTGGAAAAGAAGAACAAAAATTGTCACTGTTTGCAGATGACATGATACTATACATAGAAAATTCTAAAGATGCTGCTAGAAAACTACTAGAGCTAATCAATGAATTCAGTAAAGTTACAGGATGCAAAATTAATATACAGAAATCTCTTGCATTCCTATACACAAACAATGAAAGATTGGAAAGAGAAATTAAGGAAACATTCCCATTTACCATTGCAACAAAAAGAATAAAATACCTAGGGCTACCTAAGGAGGCAAAAGACCTGTACTCAGAAAATTATGATACTGATGAACGAAATCAAAGATAACACAAACAGATGGAGAGATATACCATGTTCTTGGATTGGAAGAATCAATTTTGTGAAAATGATTATGAAAATGATTATACTACCCAAAGCAATCTACAGATTCAATGCAATCCCTATCAAATTACCAATGGCATTCTTCACAGAACTAGAACAAAACATTTTAAAATTTGTATGGAAACACAAAAGACCCTGAATAGCCAAAGCAATTTTGAGAAAGAAAAACAGAGTTGGAGGAATCAGGCTTCCTGACTTCAGACTATACTACAAAGCGACAGGAATCAAGACAGTATGGTACTGGCACTAAAACAGAAATATAGATCAATGGAACAGGACAGAAAGCCCAGAGATAAACCCACGTACCTATGGTCACCTAATCTATGACAAAGAAGGCAAAAATATACAATGGAGGAAAGACAGCCTCTTCTATAAGTGGTGCTGCGAAAATTGAATAGGTACATGTAAAAGAATGAAATTAGAACACTCCCTAACATCATACATAAAAATAAACTCAAAATGGATTAAAGGCCAGACACTATAAAACTCATAGAGGAAAACATAGGCAGTCTCGAGCCTCCGCAGGTCTTACTTAGAAAGAATTCATGCTTGGTTGCCTCATGCTTGATTGTCTCCTGCCTGTTTGGCTCATGGCTCTTTGTCTTGTGCCTGATTGGCTCGGGCCTGGTTGACTTGTGCTGGATTGGCTCGGGCATGGTTTCCTCATGCCTGGCTGACTCATGATTGATTGGCTTGGGCATGTTTGCCTTATACCTGGTTCACTCATGCTGGATTTGCTTGGGTCTGGTTGCAGTTGACTCATGCCTGATTGACTCAGGCCTGGCTGACTTGTGCCTGATTGGGTCGTGCTTGATTGGCTCACGACTATTTGCCTCATGCCAAGTTGACTCAGGCCTGCATGCATGTGCCAGGTTGCCTCATGCTTATTTGGCACAGGCCTAGTTGCCTCATGCCTGGTTGACCCAGTTGGTTAGTGTCAGGTTGGCTTATACTTGGTTGGTTCATGTCCAATTGGTTCATACCACGTAAGATCGTGCCTGGCTGGTTCATGTCTGGTAAGCTTGATTGATTCATACCCAGTTGATTCGTGTCTGGTTGGCTGAGGGCTATTTGGTTTAGAACTAGTTGGTGGATGATGGGTTGGCAGACAACTGGTTGGCCAATGACTAAGTGCCTTCATGTAACAGGAGCCCTTAACTACAGTGCTGTGGTGGGAGGCTGTAGGATGTTTCTATTTTTTTCTCAACTTGATTCATTCTTTGAGATACCCTTCTATCAAGATGAGAATGGGAAAAATAAAGGAGTGCTACCTAAAGAAGATTACTGATGCCTCCGATTTGCTGGAGTTGACCTTACCAGCTATCACAGCTGTAGGCTTGGCTGGGTTTCAGGTTGTCATCTGGCCTTTCCCTGCCAACAGGCTGGTAGTGAGGGGAAGAAGAAAATGAACCTGGGAGAGTATTACTGCTTCACCACCTTGCACCATCACTGCATCACAGTGATGAAGTCACGGTGCCCTTATTTACGTGTGTGAGTGCTCCCCCACGTGGTGGGGGAGGGGCGAGGCAGGGGCCGCTACACCATTTTATTTCCTCCTCCCAAGAGCTTAAGAGGCTGAAGCAGAAAGCTGGGAGGAATCTCAGAGCATATGCTTGACACCCTAATAGTGTCCACTGTTTTAACCAACAAATGTAAGGATATTTGTCCTAACCCATTCTGTTTTCCCCATGCCCCAGCCCTGAAATAATTCACTTCCTATTTCTGTTCTGACTTCCACTTATTACCTTTTCCCCACACCATAGAAAGTGGAATGCTTAAAAGGGTTCTCCTATTGAGGTGCTCAAGTCCCTAATGAAGAAAATATTTGTTTACAAATAATTAAGAATAACTATGGCTACTATTTATTGAGTTATTTTATGACCTAGGTTCAGTGGGAGGCACTTTGCATTTTGTCATTCAATCCCACAGCAACCCTATTATCCCCAGTTCTAAGGAAACTGATTCATAAGATTTGGCAACCTAACCAAGACATGAACAGTTGGCAAAGAGCCTGAATTCAGACCCACGTCTATCTGATTCCAACTCCAGGGTTTTTACCATCACACTATCCTGCTCCTTACACATGCTATGCTTATTCTCCACCCCCCACATCTGTAAGATCAGGTATATTGTCCATTCACCCCATCCCCCCTCGCAGAATTCCTTCTCCCATCTTTTTATCTGTTGGCTCACTTCCTCAACAATGTATATTATATAACTGGTGCTAATATTGTTGTAGATGGAGTGTCTTTTATTTTCTAAACATACCAGAAAACATTGGTTGAAGCTGTGAAGTCTCACACTTTGCGAAAAGGTCTTTAGGTATGCATAACTTATTTAATCATCAAAGCAACCCTGTGAGATATATACTCTTGTTCCCCATTTTTATCAATAAAGAAACTGGAACTTAGAAAGATTAATTTTCCAAAATCTAATACATGCCAGAATGGGGAGAGTCCAAAGCCCATCCCATAGATGGAAGGTTCGAATAGAACTAAAGAGTACAATCACCATTTTGCCTATACTAGCTATAAATGAAAACTAGAGAGCCCACCTTCTTAGCATGACAGACAAATTAAGTCACATTGCAGAACTATGCCAAACCCAACACAAATTAGATGTAGATACATTCCTGATCTTGATCGACCTGTAATAACAATGAGAGCTAAAATTTTATGAATGCTTCCTGTGGTGTTAGGCATGGGTCTAAGGAGCAATTTACTTATATTAGCTCACTTAATGCTCACAATAATCCAGTGAGGTAGATTATATTATTATGTTCATTTTTCAAGTAAAGGAAATGAGATTCAGAGAGGTTAGGTAACTTGATTTAAGTCACACAACTGAAACTCCAGACAAAATAAGGAAAACCCAGTTCTCATTTTGGCTTTTCTGAAATGCCAGAAAAGAGGTGAAGGAATTTTGCTGTTTGCTTTACAAAATCAAATTACTTTCATAATTTATTGTGGGGATGAATGACGTTGCTTTTTTGCTTTATAAGAGGAGGAGACATGTGTTAGGTTTCTGGCTGATGCCTTAAAGGGGTAAAATTAGAAATTATAGTTTAGTGATCTAGAGTTGTTAACAAGTTTCTTTTGTACTTTGGCTCATGAACTTTCCATCACTTGAAGGTGATTTAGGTGCTAGTTTGTTTTTAATTTTTAATGTTTTTTTTATCATTATACAATGGTGATTTTAAGGGGACACACAAAAATGCATATTCTTGCTCACAGTTACTTATTAACACAACTTGTTCCATCTTAGAAACAGAAGGAGACTGTCTCCATCAGCCATGCAAATTATCTCCACACTATAACTGGTATATTATCAGGGAAAAAATAGTTTTTTGCAATATTTAAACAAAAGCATCAATAATAAGTCTTTGCCACAAGGTAGAAATGTAATCCAGTTTAGAAACAAAGTCTAAATGATAAACATTGTAACCTTGTTTATATTTAATAAAGGTGTACATATTATTTAAATTTCAGGTTTTTATCATTTACAGATATTATCAGAAATTTTCTAAAATATAATCTTAGTCTTAACATACAGATCTTTTATTACAGATCTAGTCTAGGTGGTAAATTTTGTAAGCCAATACGTGCCAAATTCTAAGAATTCAAAATGTGTGTTCATGGTCTGCTCTACCAAAATGTTTTTAATTTAGTATGATGTATAAGCCATCTCCCATAGGTGTAAAAACATGGATATGTTTATGCACTTAAACTCTAATTGCTACAATACATTAGACCCCCTTTTCTGAAGATGCTATGTAAAATCCAGCATTCGGAATTCTGACCCCAGCTTGGTTTCATCTAAATGAATATTCACAATTGAGAAAGACATTTATATAATTTTCATCTATAGCAAGCAGACAAATTTGTTGGAATCTCCCTGTACCTCAGAGCCCATCTTTTTCCTGTCCCTTTTAAGTTCACAAGCTTTTTATTTTTACCCCTGTAAGATGCAAAAAAACAAAAAGAAAGAAAAAGAAAAAGCAGGAGGTGGGGAGTGGGGTGAGGAAGCACTTAAGGCAAGGAGAACAGAACTAACATATGTGGATATTTTCTGAAATGAAAACTTAAGACATTCATCAATTAAAAGATTAATATTTTATAATATTTGCTGTATTTTATTTTATTAAGAATACATGCTCATTGTAAAACATTTGGAAAATATCTGTAACAGACAGACAAAAAATTACCTCTAGATTTTGCACTGGTTAAAATTGAGCACATCCAAGAATATGAATTTTCTTCCTTTCCAGATATTATCAGCAAATTTCCAATTAAGGGAAAATCATGACTTTGCTTATGCTGTCTCTTTGCTTAGCTGAGGGTGTAGATCATGGGTGCATGGCTTTTTTGTTTAGAAAAGTTCCCCAACAGTAACCTTATGTGAAAGGCAAGATGAGTCCAGCCAGAGCCTAGTCTGGGATGAGGACTGAGAATTAGATTTCTTTGCATATAAAAAGAAGAACTTGGATTTTTTTCCAGGGAGCAATCTGGAGAAAGAGGCTGGGTGTTTCAGGAACTAGGAAAAGAGAGATTAAATGGAAATGAAGAATTCTTGGCTTGAGGAGCAGTACCTGGCCAAATGGTGGTAGGCTAAGGTCTAGGGCACAAGATAGCCACTAAATGTTCTCTTTAAGATATCAGTATTCAGTTTTAAATTGTTTCCTATTAGATGCTGTATGGAAAAACACTTACCAGTAATTTAGTGAAAGTCAGTAGACTAGCCTTGGTGGTTTGGGGCCATGAAAATGGAGAGATGAAGGCTACATGCCTGACAGAGGTGCTGAAAGAAGACAGCAGCTGCAGGAGTTGAACCCAGGGACTGGGAAAACTGAAGCTTGGACTAATTCATGAACAGGTATCTAAGAAGAAGGTTACCCTAGAGGAAGAGGGGTGGGTAGCGAGCTAGACCCTGCCGTTACCTAGGGTAGGAACTCAAGACATTTGGTTATTACAGGAATAAATGGCTCCAGAAGACTGGGAGACATTTGGGTTACCTAAGAAATGCATAAAATAGAAATTAAAAACCTCTCAGAGTCCTATCTGTACATAACCATTTTTTACATTTCAATGATTCAAAACTATCTTTTGTCTCTCTATATATATTTCTCTCTCTCTCTCTCTCTCTCTCTATATATATATATATATATATATAATATTTTAAATAAAATTGACATCATAGTAACTGTCTTTCTTTACTTAACAATGTATTATTAGTCTTCCCCAGCTGCTATAGCATAACATATAACATTTTTTAAAATTTGTTATCATTCAACAAATCTTTATTAAACACCAACCATGTGCCAAATTGTTTGAGCCCTGCATTTATCAAGTGTCAGGTACTATGGCACATGTTTTATATACATAATCCCATTTAATCCTCACAGTGAGGTAGGCACAATGATCCCAGTTTCATAGAAAAGGAAATTGAGGCTTAGAGAAGTTAACCTGCCTGATATCGCACAACTTGGGAATGGTTGAGTCAAGATTCAAACTCAGGACTAGTGTGACCTCCTGAGCCCACTGCTCTAAACCAGATGCATAGTCACTTTACTCTTCATGTATATGCTTTCTTTTATTTAATCAACCTCATATTTGATGTGCATTTTAATTGTTTCCAGTTTTGTGGTATCAAACAACTTTCCAGTGAACATATTTGTGCAATAAATTTTTAAAATAAATTTCAC